ATCAATTACACGATCCAATGCTGCATTACTAGAGAATGCTTTTGAGGACACTGTCCCCGTTATAGCAGTTAGTGTCAACTCGACAAAACCACACTGGAGAGATTCCTTTCAGGATTCAGTGCCAGAAAAGTTTGTCATCCTGCAGAACTGCTGTTCCCCCCCTTTGAAAGAAGCTGCTTAGACTATATGACATTTTCCAAAAGGTAAAAGAGAGACATGAAAGGACCAGTAGCTATCAGGAGTTTGAGGACAGGGAGGGAGAGAGGGAGGGAGGAAGGGATGAATAAGTGGAGCTCAGGATTTTTAGTGCAGTGAACTAGTCTTTATGATACTGTAATAGTAGATGTATGTTAGGCATTTGTCAAAACCCACCGACCTCTATTACACAGTGACCAGTAATATAAACTGTGGACAATATATTAATAACAACTCATCAATATTGGTTCTTTTAATGAAGATAATTTTTATCTTTCACAACTGGGTCCAAGGGAGGAGAGACATACAGGAACTGTACATTATCTGCCCAATTTTTCTGTAAATCTTCTTCTAAAAAAAAAAAAAAGATCTAGTCAGTTAAAGGGGGGGAGCTGCTTAGCGCAGGCACCTCATTGTACTGCACTCACAGACAAACTGAATGAAGCAGGACGATCCACCAGCAAAATTATGACTTGTTTTTTTGAGGTGTTCTGGAACCCAACCCACAATATTTCCAAGGTGTGCCTGTATCTTAGAGCCAATTAAAAGCTTAATTAGGGCAACCATATTAACACACCCTTGACTAGCACAGTGCACTTAAACTTTATTTGCATTTTACTAATTTGTTTTGAGTCATTTCACAATCTTCATTCAAAATGAGGTATGTATGCAACATAAATAAAATGTACACATACATGCCAAGTAGTTATTTACAATGGGTGCACCTTGCTAGTTTGACTACTAGTAATATAATCTGGAGTGAGAAAAACATGGTCCATTAGCCTGAGCATCAAAAGACCAAAAATGGATTCAAATCTGATTTGTGCAGATTAAAAGTAACAACATATGAATACACTTTGAAAAAAAATTAGGCATAAATTATTCCTGTAATTGAAATTTACATTTTTATCTACTTATTTGCCTGAAATTGTTTTCTGGTTGTAAATCAGCAAAACAAGGACTTAATTTTTTTATATTATCAGAGCAATTGACATCTTTTTTCCTATTTTATTACCCAGAATTTAGTTTTTCCTGTTGGTCTTAATTATCCTATAAACTCCAATAAAACAGTAAAAAGGAAAGAAGTTTCTAACCTCTCCTGAGTTCTACTTCCAAGTATCCTCATACAACAAATGATTCAAAGAGAATCTCAGTAGTAAGTCAAACAACAGATACGCTATNATCAGAGCAATTGACATCTTTTTTCCTATTTTATTACCCAGAATTTAGTTTTTCCTGTTGGTCTTAATTATCCTATAAACTCCAATAAAACAGTAAAAAGGAAAGAAGTTTCTAACCTCTCCTGAGTTCTACTTCCAAGTATCCTCATACAACAAATGATTCAAAGAGAATCTCAGTAGTAAGTCAAACAACAGATAAGATTAAAAACACCATCTGAATAAACTCCCTGATATTTGTAGGTATATCTTCTTACAACATTTCTTTGAGGCACCCATACATCAGCTTCAACAATATGTGGCAAAAAGACATTATCTAGAGCTGTGGTTTACAAGCTGTAGGCTTAAGAATCTGGGGATGTCACAGTTCCTACAAGGGACCCAGAAATCCAAATATGCCAAGCACTGCTTGGAGAAAAAGTGAAGAATTCATGATTACTCTCCAGACATTTAGGTACAGAACCTTAAATTCATTTAAAAGCATTTATTTCATGGAAAACTTTCACTATCTCCTCAATAAATTGAAATGAAAGTATAATCAGTATTGTGGGGGTTCATAAAAATGTTGGAAGTTTTAAAAGGGAATCTTTTTTTTTAAAGACTATCTACTAGGCAGTCCTAATAATACATGAAACCTTCCTCCTAACAATACATGAAATCTTCCTACTAGCTGAATGACCTTGAGCAAGGCCTGACCCTTGGTAAACACAGACCCACTGTGTTCTCTACTGGTCAGAACTTGCCTGAAGAATTGTAGTCAATTCTGTCCACGAAAACTTCCAGGTGAAACAAGCCATGTCATGTCTGTGACTGGAAGAATCCACAAGGGAGGTATATAGCACTTAGCCTAGAAGACGACTTCAGGAAATTTTTTAAATGCCTAATATCTGAAGGGTTATCAGGCAGATTAGAGATTAGGCTCAGATTATATTACCCAAGATGACAGAAATAGGAAGTTAAAGCGAAGCAATTTGGGGCTCAATATAAAATAACTTCCTAATAATCATAGTCACCCTACACTGGAATAGGCTGCTTATAAAAGTATTCTAAGTATTCAAACAGAAAGTCAAGCTGAAGCTATAAGACCATTTTATCTAGAATTTGGTGGCAAATACACTGCACTGGAAAACTTATTTTAAATAACCTCAATAGTCTCCCAACTTTAAAGGGTATTCAAATGACGATAGTTGTTGTATTTTTATGTACCGTATTTTAAAAATGAGGAATCTGAGGGCAAAAGTTAACTTAATTTGATCATGGTCACATAGTGGGTAAGTAGAAGAGCTCATTTTCAAATCCTGAATCTACTGGCGCTCTTTCCTCTCTATTAGTGGATCTCAACCTTGGTTCACTGTATAATCACCTGTATCCCACCAACCAGGCCACATCCCAGACCAATCATCAACTCAAATCACTAATGGTGAGACCCAGGAAAGTTCCCAAGTGATGCCAACATACAGGCATGACTAACACCCACTGCTCTACACTAAGGGTCGGCAATCAAGCTCTGAAACACATCCATGTGCACTTGTTTCCATACGTTATGACCACTTTCATGGTACAATGGTAGAGTTAAGAAACTGACCTTACGACTAGCAAAGCCAAAAATAATTACTGTTGTTTGGCTCTTTACAGTAAAAATTTTCCAACCCCTGGCTCTATATCAATTATGTTCTAACCGTAATACTCTTATAAGACCCTTTTTTCTACCACTAAATAAAGTGGGAATTAGAGGGACTAAAAAGTTGTAAAAAAAACAACCAACAACAAAAAACCCAGATAGAATGTAGCACACATCACTGATAGAAACAAATTTTTTCAGTAAGCAATGTTCAGATACCAGCTTGATACCAACATAACAGATTTAAGAGAAATTGAAAGCATATTTGACTGGCAAAGATTAATACATCCTTACATCAATACAACCTTAGCTAGAGTTGCTTGCTAAGATAACCGCTAGTGATGTTGTATTTTCTTTTAAAGTATGCATTGTGAATCAATATTAGCACTTTCCTTTTCTTTGGATTACTCCAATTATTTGTGGGATTAATTTTAAGAATGGTGCTAGCTCTGATGAGTTTTTGACAATCAACTACCGCCCAGAAAACCTGCTTATCCTTTAACTGCATGTACATTTATGTATTTAAAAAACAACAACACAATAATGTTCCCACTGTGCTATTAAACAATCCACGCTACAGAAAAAAACAAATGTAACTACATTTTGAAAACTGCTTCAAGGTCTTCAGTATTAAAAAATTAAGCAAAAATGAAGTGCTGCTACTTTAAAGAGACAACCTCTGGAGTTTTTATAGCTAAAGGTTTATTTTGATAAGCAAGATGGAGAAGAGCAGCAGTGTTCATTATACATGCCTGCTGATTTTCAAACAAGTAAAATTTCTACCGACGAAAACTAAACCCAAATCTAAAAAGCCAGAAGAACCATTTCACAGGATTGCTATGGCATTTTGCCCTTTCCTCCCAAAGGGAAAAGGAAATAAAAACAATTCCTTCTTTTTAACAGAAAAGTACTCCATCCTCAGATGATCACCATCATGGAAATCAGACACTGAGCAGTTACAGAGCTTCAGGGCACAGCACGCATTACATCACCCGGCCCGGCCGTGCCGCACAAGTCTGGGATCTGCACGGAAAACCTCCAACCCACCGGGCCCCTGCTTCAAATAAAAATAAGTTAGACGGGAAATTATCTAGTTACACTCTTCAATAATGCCCCCTCACCCCATTTTTTAAAAAAAAGCCACACAACTAATGTGATATTAAAGTGTCTCAGAGGTTCCTCTTAACTAAGAAAAATGAGGTGAGCCCTGGCCAGTTTGGCTCACTGGTCAGTGAGTCAACCTTCGGATGGAAGGGTCTCGGGTTCAATTCCAGCCAAGGGCGAGGACCTCGGTTGCAGGCTGGATGCCTGGCCCTGTTGGAGTGCATGCCAGAGGCAACCAATCAATGTTTCTCTCTGTCTCTCTCTTCCCCACTCCCTTTCACTCTCTCTGGAAAGCAATGAAAAAAATATCCTCTGGTGAGGATTAAAAAAGAAAAAAAAAAGTGAGGTGCTAGTGGGACAAACTTAAAATAGACCAGCTTCTGTAAAATATAATGTGAGAACAGCAACTCTAAACAAATTAGAATAATACCATTACTATTTGCAAAATTCTATAAGCATTTGTAAATGTTTAATTAACAAAAAAAATCAAAGTAAAGGATGTTAACTAGATTTCAGAAGTGTTCTGAAATGACAACATATTACAACTAAAGAGTTTATCCTTCCCAGCACTGGGTGCAAAAAAGGTGAGCTCGGAGTCCAAAGATCAGGAAAGTCAAAGAACCACACACTGAGTGGAGTCCACATGACACATAACATAGGCGAATGCCGGATTATTAACATAGCCTTTGCGAAACGCGTATCTGCATGCCTAGAGAAAAAACTAAGATACTAAAATTAAGTCCTTGAATAATTATCCCCCTTCTACTTAAGTATTCAAATTTATTATTACTTCCATGTATTACTTTTATAATATAAAAAAGTTAAAAGTATACTTCAACATTATATCCAACTAGATAGAATTACAATGAAAACTGAAATAGCTCTGTATGCACAGTATTTACCTGGTTCTTCCTTAATGAATGACATATCTTCTTCTGGGTAGGCAACAGGAGGCTGCATCACTGAGCAATCTTCTAAACTTGTTTCATTATTAGGTGGTATATTATAAATAAATCTCTTTGCAGTTTGGTTTTTCCTCCTTGTTTTGCTGCCAGTTTCTTGAATTCCCTGGGAGCCCATATTATTCCAAATAAACACTTTTGTCTGACCTTGGGCTTCATTTTCAGCCAATTCAGGTGAACCATCCTGGACCCAACTACTGTCATTCATTTGGTAGTTTTCTATTTGGCCCTCGTCGACATTACAGCCATCATTTTCAATTTTTACATTACTTGCCAAATTGGTAAGATTCCGTGTTGCCCAAAAACTGGCAATTTTTTGATCCCGTGATGAAGACAGACCATCTCTATTAACTGGCTTTCTATTGTTATAGTCCACAACCACAGACTCTGGAGCTTCGGATTTAATGCTTATATTTAAGGCATCTTTAATGAAATTTCGGCAAGTTTGAACAACTTCGCTCATCTGCAGATAGCTGGCCACGGTCATCACTTCAATGGCATTTTGGCTTGTGAGCACCAGGTTACCAGAGTACAGGAAGTCCAAGATGACTGAGAAACCTTGAACTGCAGCAATATCTAAATGGGTAGTATTGTTTTGGTTAGGGCTTTCTTTGTTTGAAAAGCAATATAAAGTCTTAAAGAAACGGCTGCCTGCAACCAGGATATTCTTATGAGCTTTAAAGATTTTTCCGCTCACCACAATGCTGACATCACAAAGAATACCTTTCTTTCTCTGCTCATTTAGTTGTCGAAGAAGTTGATAGCAATAAGAGTTCTCATTTGGCCTACTATTAAAGTCACAGTATCCTTCTTCTGAAGGTATTTCAGATTCCTGTTAAGTGAATGGAAAGCATTAATATTAAATTTTTAAAGCACCCAAAACAAGAAAAACAAGTATCATCATCAATGTAACTTTTTAAAAGCACTGATCAAAACAGTTATCCCTCAGCATTCATGGGGTTGGTTCCAGGACTCCCCCATACCAAAATCCTGGATGTTCATGTCCCCTATATAAACGGGTAGTACTTGCATGTTCTTCCATGTACTTTAAATCATCTCTACATCACTTACAATACCCACTACAATGGAAATGCTGTTTAACTAGTTGTTACACTGAGTTGTTCAGGGAATAATAAAAATGTCTGTACATCTTCAGTACAGACTCAACCACAGCAGGTGTAATACCATAGTGCGTATCAGCAACAACGTAGTATTTTCTCCCAACATTTTTGACCCAAGATTGGTTGAATGGGTGGATGCAGAACCTGCAGGTGCAGAGGGCCCAATGTACACTGTTAGTAATCATCATGAAGTGCTCACAAGTACGGAGGAAAAGGGGGGAACAGCTTGTTCAAGTCACTGCTAGCATAAGAAAAATTAAACATCTGAATGAAGATCAGCAGAATTGCATTTACAGGATAACGTGTCATGTCATTCTTGAAATATAAAATAAGGACATTAAGAATTACTTAAAATTAAAATAAGACACTTTTCAGCGCATTAGCCTTTGCAAGTCACGAACTGCTTCACGTTTATAGCTGCACTTCAGGAAGGAGGTGGCAATCATTTTAGGCTTGGTCACTGTGTTCTCAATTTCCTGGGCTGGTCCCAAGTTCTGAAATTCTCTGCCATTATCAGACCAAATGTCCTAATTTTTAAAAATAACCCAGACAAAAGCCTGTACACCAAAACATTTGCCCATTCTATTTTAACACAAACTACACAAATCAAGCACAATTATTCAACTACTATTTTTTCTCATTACTATTGTATAAGAACAGTAACGTCCCTACTTTTGTAAGCCACACTAGCAACTTCTTTTGCACCACCGATTAGAGCACTGAGCTGTGTTTTGGAAGCACCTATTAAATATGCTCTTGGCGGCAATGATTGCTTTATAAGTCAAGAACATGTATACTCTCCAAGGGGAGTGTTACTTGAGGATTTGGGTGAAACAGAGCTAAAATAAATGGCCAATATTATTTGCTGAACCAAATAAGTTAAGAAAATTCTTATACTAAAGACTAAAAGTTATCACTAGTGGGCAAGAGTCCTAAAGTACTGAAGAATATGACAAGGGTGTTATGAGAGCAGACAGGGGGTGGATTAAATCCAGGTCAGAAGTTGGGGGGGGGGCGGTTTGAAGGAAAAGATTTGAGCAGAACCTTCAAGGATGCAAGAGTAGGATGGCCCAGTAGGGGATGGCTCAAAGGTTGAACACTGACCTAGGATCCAGGAGATGGCAGTTCAATTCCCGAGATTAGGGCACATGCCTGGATTGCAGGCTCCCTCCCATGATGGGGGAGGGGCGGCAGGCAGCCAATCAATGACAACTCTCTCATCACTGATGTTTCTCTCTCTCTCCCCCTTCCTCTCTCTGAAATCAATAAAGATATACAAAAAAAAAAGTAGCCTGGAAGGATGTGCATTCTAAACAAGAGACTGTGAGAAAAAGAACCAAGATGGCCTACAATATCCTTACAATTCCAGATTCATGACAGAACTTCAAGGTGATCCAAAATACCCAAGATATGCAAATGTGCACTTACAAACATTCTGAGGTGTCTATAGCTTTCATCAGATTATCAAGAGATAAGAATCCCTGCCCGGCCAGCATGGCTCAGCCGTTGAGCATCCACCTATGATCCAGGAGATCACAGTTCCATTCCCGGTCAGGGCACAGGCCCGGGTTGCGGGCTTGATCCCCAGTCGGGGGCGTGCAGGAGGCAGCCCAACCAATGACTCATCGCTGATGTTTCCATCTCTCTTTCCTCTCCCTTCCTCTCTCTGAAACCAGTAAAGATACATTTTTAAAAAGATAAAAATCCCTGACAAGACTAAGAATCACTTCTGTAGGCAGAGGACAGAGCTTTAGCACAGTGGGCGGTCTGATTCGATTAGCAGAAGAGATGACTGGCAGCTAAGTAGGGACTAGTACTGGAGATACTCTGACCAGGGGAAGCTACTGTTAAAAAGTGCAACATACTTGCAATAAACAAGGACCTTAACTAGGGAAGACGGATAATGTTAATAGGGGGAGAGGTGGTGAGGCAGAGTCTTGGAAAAATATCTGGGAGGTAAAATCAGAACTTGAGCAATTAACTAGATTGTGGGGATTAAGGAGAAAAGAATCACAGGCTCTTCAGCATTATAGCTTGGGGAGCTAGATAATGCCACCAATTTGTAGGGAAATCTACACCACCCTTCTGAGGGGGAGAGTGGTAGAGATAACTTCAGTTGCAAATGGTGAGCTCATCTGTAGTCAATCCATAAGTAAGAAAACGCTATTTAGCTAAAAATCAACAAGTAATTAGTATTTACTTCCGTACCCAGAATTATAGTCCTCTTTCAATAAACTACAGAATCAAACACAATGAATGTTAGAACCTATATAATATTCCACAAAGTGGTTATTTAATGGGCCATAGGCTCATCTTTAATATTTCTACTTCTTAGTGAAAGGTTTTTCAGATTTTCTTCCTAAATCATTAAAAAGAACCAACCTTGAGCCATATTTTTGCCAAAATCAAAGAAGGGTGGTAGACTTGTTTCACCTTTGCTTTAGCTGCTGACCTCAACATATTCCACTTAGTAATTTCAATCAGACCACTGATCTGAATTCAGTATTACTTTCTGGAAAGGCTAAATAAATTTATAACACCAATCTCTGAGTGTATATTTCAGGGTTAGCAAACTGGAAACGGTTGACTGAATGTGTGTGTGATTCAGGCTATGAAATTTCACAAGTTGGTATAAAGTGAACTGAACCAACAGACAGAGGTATAATCACTGTTAAAGAAATTTTAAAGTCCTCTAGACCAAATGGTCAAATCCTGTATGAACTAATTGTTGAATTTGATTTAATGAAAACAGTCGATTGTTACTCAAACTACAAACTATATGCTGTCCCTTACATCCTATATTCACAAATCCTTGTGAAGAATACAGCAATATTGCCTGGCCGGTGTAGCTCAGTGGTTGAGCATCAACCCAGGAACCAAGAGGTTTCATTTCAATTCCCTGTCAGAACACACGTCCAGGTTGCCGGTTGCCGGCTCCATCCCAGGGAGGGGGGCGTGTGGGAAACAGCCAGCAGATGTTTCTCTCCACCCCTCTTCCCTTCCTCTCTCTAAAAATCAATAAAAACGTATTGAAAAAAGAAAAATACAAGGATCACTTTGAAACAGGAGGCTCAGAACAGATTCTGAAAGCTTATTTACAGATTCTTCCATGAGAAGTCCTTAACAACAAACATCTAATTAACAAGAATATCAGACGTTTAAAGAAGATGCTATAATGTTTTGGTCACCACCACGGACAAATGAAAAAACTTTTCTTAGTTACACAAAAAATAAGAAAAGTAACTTGGCAAACAAGATTTAGCCAAACTCCTTTCAAAAAACAGGATTCCTTAAAACTAAAAAAAGGGTGTGTGTGTGTAATAAAGGGAGTGAATTACCCCAGCCTCCAACTGAATTCTTGCCTGAAACTCCAGAACTCTCATTTCAGTATTTTTAAGAGAAAGTTGGTGCAAGGTATTTTTATTAAGCTGAGAAAAATCACACATATGATGAGAAAGTCTCAGAATGTTCAGAGAACTAGATGGCTAAAGTCTCTGAAGGTATGAAAAGGGAGCCAGCTTGCTCTCTTAGAATCAGTGTGATTCATGAGATAAAGTGGTTTCCAAACTGATAAAATTGGTAACACTGAGACAAGAGAGACACCAGGCCACAAAAAGCATCTTGTTACACTTATCTGTAAAGAAAATAATTACGGTAAAAAAGCTATTTACCGATTATGTGCTGCCATATATTCTTTGCATACATGAGAAAGTTTTGCCTGCCAAGAAAGAGGATTAGGGCTCAGGTCCTCCTAACCTTAAACCCAAAAATGCTCTTACAGGCTATGTTATACTGCCTCCTACAGGTGATCAAAGACTGCAGGACAATGATGAACTCTGGGGGGGGGGGGGGGAAAAA